CAAAAAGGCTGTAGTTTAAAAAGGTTAGCAAGATTATGTTTCTAAAATTTAACAATTAACTTATGGAATAACCCACAAGTGTTTTAAAAAAGGGTAAGAATCTTACAGTTCAGTCAAGGCAAGGAGATGAGAAAATGAACCGTCTTCTATAGCTTTTATTTTGTTATTTGATAATACTCTACAAGTAATATATTAATAACATTGCTCTAGGGTTTTAAAAATTCTAAACAGGATTATTAGGACCCCATCAATGTTACAAGGAAATAGCTATATAATTTTTCTCGTAGGCTATATATTTTGTAAAGTGCCGGGAACAATTTACGATTAATACAATTAGCATGGGTAAATAAAATATTATTATATAATAAAATATTTTATGATATGATTATAGTTATATTCTTACAAAAACGTCAAGTTGGAAAGGCCATCAAGCATTCTTTTAGTGATGACGGTAATTTCGTTATCATTTAAATATCTTATATGTCAGTAATAATTAAAATGTAGAATTATAAATGTATAGTTCCAAGTTAATATACCCTTTCGTGCAATTGTTATTTTTAAAAAAAAAATACAACGCAGTTAAAAATACACTTATATTAAAATAAAAACTGTTACTCTCTAGAGAATCCTTACGTTTACTATTTAGTTTTTACTTAGTAATTTATAACATATGATATAATGAAGACAGATCTTACATGGACGTTACAGAAGAGTATATATTCGCTTCTATCGGTGGAATAGTTTTTAAGTGGCACCATCCTAAAAACCTTTAAAATATGTAGTATTTTCGTAAAGGACGACATAACATCAGGTATAATATAATGCTGAGAAGTTCTATGTGTGGATACTTCATTATAGTCAACAGTATATTATTAATGACATAAACTAGGACTACAGACTAAAATTTTGATCAATATTATTCCTAATTCTCTTATGGGTTTCACATTTACGATGTGTCAACAACTGGTTTGGCAGGGGTGGGTACTTACAATTCTTCATGGTTGTTGTACGCTCCTGGTCCGTGTGATTCTTGTTCAAACTGTGAATACACCCATCTCCCTTGAAAAATAAATAATAAAAGTACGGCAAAGAGACAGTCCACACGCTGCATACTGACAATTGCTTCCAATTTTGACACTAACTTGCTCTTAAATACTTGCAGAATAATCTTGTTTAAGTTGACTGATTAAATTTTTGCATTCCTATCATATTTTAACGCAATCTATTACCGCTTCCCTAGTTTGTCTGCCATGAGAAAAACGCAAAATTTTCTAAAATGTTTACTTTAATGCTGTGATTAATGAAGTAATATTATAAAAAACCTTTATAAAATAATAAAAAATTTTACTTATTCATAAAAAAAAATACTTCTCCGAATTCATAACTTCAATTTGTTATGTTGAAGAAGAAATAAAGTAATACAATTTTTATAAGAAAACAAATTTTATTATTTTTTTAACTTTTTCTAGTTTTCATGAATAATTGTAAATAGATATTATTTTTACTTATTATTTTATTGTACCACTAAAAATATACATGTAATATTTTATTTTTATATATACACAAGTTTTTTACCTGACTTTTATTAGAAAAAATGAAAATAATAATAAAATATATAAAAAAACTTTTTTTTATATTAATTAAATATTTTTCATTCTAGATAACCACTTTAATACTGCTTTAATCGTAAATTCTTTAAATTCGTTATATTTAATAAATATTCGTATTCATTAAATTTATTTTCCGTTATAATTATAAATTTTTATTATAATTACTTTCTTTTTGTGTTATAATAATAATTATATATAGAACTTTTTAAAAAAGCTTATAATTACCACAAAATTTTCAAAATAATGATATCAAATATAATCAAATACCACATGAAAGTCAAGAACTTTTAAGAATGCAATTATTATATAACTATATTAATATACTTTTTATTTATTTTATATGAAAAAAAAAATTATAACAGTTTCTATTACCCATGATTTTAACGAGAAATACTAGCAATCATACATAATGTAAGTGAAATAATAGTAACTCCTACTTTTTTTTGGAGAGATGTAGTAAATATAATTTCTTAATTTGATTTCATTAATAAAATGTATACATTTTCTGTAGTTTACTTTATATTTCTATAGTTTTATTATATTAAGTTTTAATAAATTTGTAACAATCATTTATAGTTTATTTTAAAAAAAATAATCGTAGAACGGGCTTGGAATACCACGTGATAATGCTATTTAAAATAACTGGTTTGGTGTTTACGTTGAAGTTTAAAATGAACGTTCCCAGTTTCAAATCGAAGGAATCAGGAAAGTTTTATGAGGAGCTAAATAAAATATTTTTATAAACTTATATATTGCGATATGGTTATTTTTTCTAGATATTTAATTAGTATTATTATTATAACAGTGGTTTTTTCAGGTCTCCCTAGGGTTGTGGGCTGTTGTAGGAGTTTTGAGGGTTGAATGTTTTACAAAAAAATGACATTACAAATGCACTCCCGTGTCTTGTAAGTCGGCCTCTTCAGATAAAATTATTGGGACAGGTCTCATTGTCACTAAAATATTTTTATAGTTAGAGAAAGTCTATAAGCTACTTATCTACTATAAGATTTCAAGCTATTTTTCAATTCTATCATTACTACCCAATAAAGCTAATATTAGAAACAACCAGAAAGCTTAACTTCTGTAATGTTATCTTAATTTTATAGACAAAAATTATATATTTTTTTTATTCTTTTTTTTTTTTTTTTAACTTTTCTTATAGTATAAGTTAAACTAAGTAAATTGTTTAATCCTGGTTATAGCATTTCAAATATCTGGTTACTGTAACCTAAGTGAATTTTTCTTTTTAGGTTTGAAAGGAACTTTAGTTTCTTAGTAATTCAGGTGTATTACACTTTACGAAATAATTGTATATTGCAAGATACGCTAACACCTACATTTTAGTTGAACCTCTCGAAGATTTAGCTTAAGTCTTTATTTCAAATAATATTTTGTTTTACTAAGTAATTTGAACTTATAATTTCAATATAAAAAGCCTATTTTATTTTAGAGTTACAAATATGCAGACAATACTTAATTAATAAAATTATTACAAATTTGAAAGGGTAACGTCAGTTTTCTTTTTGCTTTTTCATACCTGCAAAATATAGTTTGTATGACAAATTATATAGATGTAAAAGATCCTATAAAACTGATAAATATAAGTGCACCGAAAACGGAAGTATAAAAAAGTCAAAGAGTAAAGAGTATTAAATAGCAAGGACACTTGAAGTGCTAAGAAAAAAAGTAAGTCAAAGGAACTTATTTATACTACTACTGATAGATATACCAAAAAAAGTAAGTAAAACGGTTTACTTGACCGCAAAATCCACCTTACAAGATTTTAGAGTTTGAATTATATATAAACTATATATTTGATAACATAGATTGTAATAAATAAAGGGTGATAACATTTTATTTTAAGTAAAAAAGATAAACGGATAGACTCTGAAAAAAGGCATACAAAGGTTCGAATTTATTTTCACAGCTTAACTTAAACCCAGACCAAAAATAAACAAAGCTATCAACCATTAGGAAAATAAGAAGTAAAAATTATTATAAATCTCTAACACAAAAATACTTTTTTAGTTTTATCAAAAACCTTCTTTAAAAGGTCAAAATCTACATAAAAATCTAAAATTTCTCGTATAAAAACTACAGGCGGCCTGCGATGGGCAACAAACATTAAAATTTAAAGTTTTTCCTAAAGTAAAAGAGCCAAAATATTTTAATTTCGTCTTTATTCATTTATGTAGCCTGACTAGTTTACCAATTGGACCCCATTTTAGGAGTTATTCCCAAGGGCTTACAATAATTAACTTTATTACTTGTGACCTAAGAACCTTCTCTGTGCCGTGTCCTAACGTCTCGTGTTGTTTATTAACGGTCATGTTGTTAACCCTCCCTATTGAGACTGAAAAAATGTGAAGGGGGTTGTCCATTTCCTGTAAAAGGCTCTAGTACCCGCGGGATACTTAAAGCGTCAAATATCGGATTTCAACGTTAGTAGAAGTATCAGGCACTGGGAATCCCTAAAAATGTCTATAAGTTCCTCATTTAATGTGCAACCTTGCAGACCTTTTCCCTTGACCCACTCGCGTTACAAGGGCATAAGGTTGCCCCAACCTCAGTGGCAATTTTCCTCAAGGGATCACCGGGTGAATTCACCCTACGCATATTTGTTTCAGATAAAGTGTGTCGGGCAAACTCTTGTGGTTACCTCTGGTTAATAAGCCTGCATTACATCTCTGTTGAGCTGTAAAACAACGGTAACAAGCTCAAATATGCGTGAGTGGCATTACTATCAAGAGCCAAACCAAATTTATTATAGACGTTTTGTCTGGCATCAATAAAAAATTCATTGGGGTCAAAAACGTTTATATGCATTCCAATTAATAATTTATTTTTTAGATAGTTATTAGCTTCTCTCCTCGTGCTAGTCTTTTTAAATTGATATTGGACCGGCCAAGAAAAAGGTAGTAGCTAAAATCATTGACAGTAGCTTGGGGTACATTAAATTTTCCTTTATGCTTATTAGGTCGTGCTACAAAGGCGCCATTTCCTTTCTTCAAAATCCCATTTAACTTTAACCGTTCTTTTAGGCGTCACCTCACATATCATGACTACTTTATACAATTGTTCTCTTTTTTCATGTATAGTGACTCCTTTTGAGTATACTACTGAAATAAACTTATTACCTTTATAATTTTTATTTCCAGGAACAGATTAAAAAAGGTTGATATATGACCTCTTTTTAAAAATGATCTCTAAAAAAACATTTTTTAAAATTCTTCATTAATGAGTTTAAATGGTCTATTAACGATTTCAGTCATACATCTAAAGGAAGCTTTAAATATGATTTATTAAGCAAGGAAAAGAAAGTTGAATGCATATAACTTTTGAAAGAAACATCATTAGTGGCACTCGCTTTGCCCAAAAGGAGTTAACTTTAAAGTAGAAATATTAATTCTTAAGATTTCTGAGTATGTTGGAATGTACTCATCTACAATAATGTCCAAAGCGTCGCTTTTTTACCACCAATTCCATGGATAAAACCTTTTTCAAGCTAATCTCTAAGGGGGGGCTAATTCTTTTATTATGATGCGCTATGTTAATTAAGGGTATGCGGTATTTCAACTTTTCTAAGTGGTAGATCTTTAATTTTCTCTTTAGGAAGAAACGGTAATTCCAGTTTTCTTCGAAGTAAACACAGCACAGTCCGAAACAGACCGGGGAGGGATGGAAACATTAGTGCCCTGATTCTAAAGAAATTTTTATAATACTATCGCAAAAATAACCGTATAAAACAAAAAATTACAATCAGGGGAGTAAAAACCATTAAAAATGTTTCGATCAATCGTTATGACCTTTTCGCGAAGAACTGAGGTTTGAGAATAGTAGAAGGCAGCCTTGCAAACATTCATCCCCAAATGCTCCTTGCCAGTCATTGAGATGCTGGCCAAAAAAAAAAAAAAGTTAAGTTAAACTCTACACGGTAACCGGTTAAGGAATACGTAGTGCCAGCCGCTTAAGAACATTTTAAATTTTTTCTCTTTCCCGCAGCCTAGCCGGTTTCCCTGAAACCAAGGTGTAGCCATAATTATTACCCGTTAGTAGGCTTCGTGAGGTGTGCGGATGATAACCACTCTTGTAAGCTCTAAAGCAATTCAGAAGGGTACTGTAAGAGTTTCATCTTGTGAGCATCAAAATTTTTTTGTAAGACTAGTTATTGTTCTAAATGAAGGAAGTGATAGCATTGCATTTAGGTGCAAGATTACAGGAAAATAAACTGTGGGTATTTTCAAAGGCGGAACTTTGAAGGAAAAGGAGGTCAATAAAAATTGAATCAATAACTGTTTCAAAAATTTGAAAGGGTATGCCTGGTTTTTGAAAATGTGAAGAGGCTAAGATTTAGGTATTCGATAATTTTTGTATATAACTTTAAACTTTTTTTTCATTATTATGTAAGAATTCTTTATCAACAAAGCTTTGGAGGTAAAAAAACACTTTATACTTTTATCACATAGAAAGCCACTGAGTGCAGAATAAAACTTGTATAATTTTCCATTAATACAATGACTTTCGTAGTTGATTTTATAATGGATAGGGGACAAATTTTCAAAAGGAACAGAAGAATTTGAAAGAGTTATAAAAACGCATAAAATACGCAACAGTTGTAAATAAAGCACAATAGTAAGTCTGCCTCTCTTATTAACTTAAAAAAAAATAGCAATGCAACCAAAGTAAGTATAAGTTGATTATAAAAGGCACGCTGGTGAGTCGCTGACCTTAAAAAAGTGAACTGCAATGCGGGTTATATCTGACCTATTTAACAGAATCTATCTTATTAAATTCAATGACATATCAAGGAATATTAACTTATGAAACTCATCAATATATTAAAAGCACTCATTAGGCCATCAATATCTAATAGATAGTGACAGCCCTTCCAGGGTAGAGTGAAATTTTAAACAGGAGAACAGGGACTAAGAGTGGTTTCTAAATAAATTGGCGACTTCTCTTTCAAAGGAGGCAAGGAGAAAACAAATAAAATTTAAATGCATAAAGAAGGAAGAACCAATGGCAAAGTGTAGTTATAGAGAAAGTCTATACTACCTAATTTTTTTACAAACTGTGGTCTACGAATAGGAAATAAATTAATAAACTAGCGCTAATAACCAGTTCACACGCAAATATTGTATATATAGGAGAAAAGGACTGTTTGAAATAGCATAGGTTTATAATTGCAAGTTTCTTCTAAAAAGGATGGGGAGTTTTTAATAAGACGAAAAGGAAAGGAATTAGCGGAAAGGTAAAACGGTTTTGTTAGTATCCTCTGTTAAAACGCTTAACTTGACAACACTTTTAGTAATAGGGCAGTCAAAGTCCAAGAATGATATAAAATTTAAATAAAAAAAAAAAAAATTGTCGTCAAGTTAAGTAAAGAAAACAGATTTAAGTAATTTTTAATAAAGTAACAAGTCTAAAAATTATAGATAAAAAACAAGTATTTTAATAAAAAAGGGCAGATTATAGGTTAAATAAGTAATAGAATAACTAACTAAATAATAAAGAAATATATTTGAAAACAAAGAACTAAAAGGGCAAAATGAACAAAAAAAAAAAAAAAAGAGAAAACTGAATAGCAAAAAGCCGAAGTGTCATACGTTATAGAACTGGCTTACTACAGATGTGATTTATAATTGATTGCTGCTTAATTTACTTTAATCGAGGGAGCAAAAACCACTAGTTCCTTAACGATTCTATGGGCCATTAACGAGAACAGGTGCGCGTTCTCATAGGTAAATAGTATATAATAAAAAGACGTAGAAGCAAGTAATAAAAATATTAAGTGAAAAGGGATGCATTCCATAATATTATACACATATATAATTAAGTTAATTTAATAAATAGGTAAAGTTAGCCATACCCCTCCCCTCTTTTAATAGGTCTAAGAAATGTTTTGACCGGGAGTACTTGGCAACCTAGGAGGAGCCGTAATCAAGAGGCTGTCATATAAGATTAACTTACATAGGCAGGAGGTTACACTTTCTATGTAGCTAGCTGTTGTGCACAAAGCAGGAGGACATCCACCATTTTTAGTAGGCGATTTTGTAGTATTTGTAGAGGGATGAATATGTTTGTTTAAAAAATAGGCACAAGTGATAGAGTCCTAGACCACCAGCAGGTGTATAGGTACAGAAACTCTTTTTTTAAATGCAGGTTGCCTTTCCTGGATAGTAAGGGATCTAACACGGTTATAGCTTTTTCTGGTTTTATAACGACTTAAGAAAAATGTGGAGTTTAGCTTAGTCGATGGTCACGTACAATTTTGAGGTATCTAAGCTTCTTAATTCGAGGGCTGACAGTTTACCTGAGACCTAAGGGAGTATCCCTCCCTTTGTTATAATTACAAAGCTACTTTTCGACTCATTAATTATCAACCTCTGTGTGGAAAGGCATGTCTCAATTACTATCAACTGAGACTGTATGTTTTTAAAGAGCAGGCAGGCGGGTTCTGAACTATACTATAAGGCTGTATTGTCAACGTATTGAGTCTAGTTTTCTATTTTTTCGACAGTTGTGGCATGTCGGACATGTAGATAGAAAAAAGTAAAGGGGATACTAAGAAACCTTGTGGAACACCCGTCTTTAATTGTCTAAAAGCGGAGTTCAACGAACTTACTCTAGCGGTAAAGGTTCTATTCGTTAGGTATGAAGTGTACCACCACCGTCAAGTAAAAAGGGGAGCTAGATGGTCGTGTCCTATTTTAACGAAGGGCCTTCTCAATTTCTAAAAGACCGCAGGTGTTACTTTTTTTTACCAGAAAGCTTTTGTAGCTTCCCTCATAAGCCTAATTATCTAGTGAATTGTGGAGTACTTAATTCGAAAACCAAATTAAAAATTAGACAGGACGCACTTGCCATCCACAAATTCTTATAATTTACAAGGAACCCCGCTTCTATCCCCTTTTCTAGACCGGACAACATTCTTTTTGGGGGATAATCTTTAATAAAACAGTTAGAGGAACTAGTTAGAGGAATGAAAATTACGTAAGCCAATTTCCACAGCTTGGGGAAGCAAGCTATGGTGGATCTTTGAATTAATTAATATTAAAATCATAGAGATAGCTCGTGAAATTAAGTTCTTAAGCATTATCAGGGCGAGGCTTTTCTAGTATTACGGGATTGGATAATAGTTAAGATTCCGCACTGGTGATAAGCTTAACGTTGTTACATATGTTAGGTCCTAATTGGTTAGTAGCTTTGGTGGACACATGCTTAAAGCGGTGCGCATTCTAATCAATATGAGTAGGCTTTCAGCGCGTCAGCAAATGCCTCTACTATTTCGGAGGACATGGTAGCTGAGGCGTCCAGCACCATGGATGAGCGGTGTTATGCCCTAGTCTCAGTAGTTCGAATAGTTCTTGTTAATTTCCTTTAAGAATTATTCTCTGGCCCAAAAGTCCCTAATTTTTTTGGCCAGCTTTAGTTAAACCAGGCTTTCAAATTCTCCTTAATTTCAAATATTGATTGTAAAGTTTTGTAAAGTTTTTTGTCTCTTGGAAAGAAGAGTTCGGATATCTTGCTTTCGCCTTCTCTTAATCTGAGATCTAATGTGGTTCATAGGGTTATATTGTTGGTTTTTGTGGGCTTACTATAGTTCGCTTTTATAGCTCCTTCCATTTGCACAACAGTTGTGTCTAAATCAAGTACTTTCCCTATGAAGAGCTCCATGGTGTCTATGCTTGTCTAACTATTCCAGAAATGGGGCCCAAACTGGTTACTTTTTCAACCCAGGTTGTCGAGACTGACTTATCTCCTATTCTCTACGAAGGATCCGAAGAGAGTACAAATAGCGTTATTGACGATAACAGGAACCTAAATAATTTATGTTACTGTGGTGATTTAAGCCAATAACAATTAAATATTTTTGTCGGTCACTTCGGCAAACTTTATTATATTGTCGCTCTTCCGCCTGCTATCCCACAAAGGGTTTTTAAAGTTTAAATCTCCAGACATAAACCCCCGCTATTATAGGCATAACCTTGCCGAAAGATTTGTAAGGGGCAGTAATATTGACTATCCCATTGTAACAGAGCTCTATATTTACGCAGACAGCTTCTAAAGTTACCTCTATAAAATAGAAGGCTTGGTGGGTAATGTTTCATCCAGTTAAGGCAGCTACGCCTTCTCCTCCAGTATCTTTCCTGTCACGTCTGTAAATAGGATAGTTAGGTGCCTTAAACGGTTACCTTCCTTCAGAGGTGTACAAGATGTAAAATTTTGTCCAGGTTCATACAGGCAATAAATTTCTGATTTGGCCTCCATTTAGATAATCTAAAAATTATTTAATTTCTAAATTAGCTTCTTAATGGATCGCATTGGTAAGTGTTGCTACAAAGTTATTCTTCATGTCGTTTAGGGAGCTGTATTAGTTGCTTCAGGTTCTAAGTTCTGTTTAGTATGCGGTGCGTAGCTTATATTTTCTTTAATGAAAACTTGCAGAATTCTTGGAAGCTTTTTTAGTTGAAAAATTATTATGAATTTTCCTTAAAGGAGCATATTTCTGGTGGTTCTACATCCTCTACAATTTGAAACATGCATTCTTGGGCAATTAGGGCAGGTAGGCTTTTCATTCTCGCTTTTAGTGTAGGATGTCGAGCCTTGAGGACCATTGCATTTAGGGCATTTGTAGCTTGGCTTACAGTATTACACTGTATGTCCAAATAGTTGACATCTATAGCACTGGCCCAATCCCCCCCCCCTCCCCCCTCTTCTTTTCAGGAAATCAACCGTCACGGCGATACAACCATTACTTTTCAAATTTAAGCTCTTGTTTCGCATTTTAGCCGCCTTGACGAGTAGGGGTAGGGGTTGTCTTTCCTTTTCAAAGGAGTGCATTTTAATTACTTCAGACGGGTTGAACCATTAAAATATAAGAACCGCCTTTACAGTTTCTGTATCCATTTCTGCGAAAATAGCTGGAATAACCACTTTAAACTCATTTTCACTAGGCAGCTTGTATCCGCAGAGGTTCCAATCTCCAAACTTTCCTCGTCT